TCTCTCTGTGTTGGTCTGATTGTTGTTTGTTCTTGCCATGTTTCTCTCATTCTTCTTATAGTCTGTCTACAGTCACTTTGGTGACTTTAATTATGATGAGTGATTTAATGTCAGTGACCCATTTGATAATTTAACTGCATGTCTCCCCAGGCTTATCTTCTGAGTTGAACTGCAGCCCTGGTTCAGCTCTGCCACTTGTCAAAAGGAGTTTATGTAACTTGCTTCAATATGTCATTCAAGAATCTTTCTCATACCCCTTTCCAAGTTTCTGTGGGGATTTCTTTGTCTTTTCTTTCAGAGTCTTTACTGGCTCTATTCCCTTTTATCTCTGCATTGTCACATCTAGAAATAAAAATTCCATTACTCTATTTATACAGAGCTTTTTATTTTAGGCCTGTCTTACCAACATCTCTCACTTCTAGCCATCACTTCACTGTGGCTATAAAAGATTTCCTAGCTCCCTAATTTACCTTTCACCCTTATACTCTTTCTTATGCTTCCTCTCTTGATCTTCACCTTACCTGTTGTTTTGTGCATAACTAGAGATTCTTCAAATGAAAACTCCTTATAGGTTTTCATGTCCAGACTACATGTAGATCTTACTGGTTCTTTCTGTATGACATCTCTATGGAAAAATTCCCAATCCAGCCACACAACTAAAACTCTTGTCTAAGCTTCCATCATCTCATAATTTAATTAGTTCAATATCCATTCTCTGATCGTGACCTGTTTGTGTTCTTTCAGAGAGCTGCTGTTAGAATTATTTTTCTGGCCTGTCATTTTAACCATGCCACATCTTTGCATCCCAGCAGTGGTACTCTCTGCTCAAATATAGGTGACTTGTTTTTCTGTTCAAGCTCCTTCATAGTGGGTAGCCTAGGGGTGGGAAGTTATTTTGGCTGGAGGGTTGCTTAATGAGTTTTGGTGAGCTGTCAAGGGCTGCAAGGGTAACTCCGCCCCTTGACAGATGGCCTGCCCCCTGGTCACCATCTAGGGGCTGTAGATCCTGCCCCTGACCTTTGTGACTAGAAGTCCCTTCCCTTGCCCCCAGAAGTACTCCTTTTGGGAAGAGGGGAGGTTGCCATCTTGGAACTGGGGAAACAAACAATCGTGCTAAAAATCAAACATCTACTAGCATATTTTAATTCTGTTTCAAAAAATATTTTGTCTCGATTCATGTATGTTTGTGTAGTATATAGAGGTGATTGCATAATAGCTCAGAACAGAGTCTTACTCTTGTATATTGTGTATGGCGTGTGACTCGGGGGTGTGTGTATGGGTATGATGGTTATGGGGGGGGCATGACCCACAGCCCCTGCCACTGGTGGTGGCAGCAGCAGCCATAGGTGGTGGGTCTTCAGGGAGACACATGGCCCATGGCAGGGGGAGCCCTCTGGCAGCACATGGCTTTGGCTGAGTCCCAGGAGCTGCACATAGTGGTAGGGCGTAGGACCAGGCCACTGGCTCCATTGTGTGGGGCTCCCCACGACTCGTGCAGCTTCCAGGACTTGGCTGGACTCTGCTGGGGGAATCGCTGCCCAATGGAGCCAGTGGCCTGGCCCTACTTGCCGCCACTATGCTTGTGGGATTTGGCAGGGAGCAGGGCCAAGCTGGCCCGGCTCTATTACGTGGGGCTTCCCACCAATCCCGGCCAAGTCTTGGTTGCTGCACATAGCAGCAGGGAGTGAAGCTGGCCTGGCTGTACTGTTTGAGGCTCCTCGCAGTGGCACATGGCTCTGACAAGGTCCTGGGAGCTGTGTGAGGAGCCCCAGGCGATGGAGCCAGGCTGTCCCCTTGCTCATGCTGGCCCTGGCCCTGGGCTCTGGGCTCCAGGCTCCCACCCAGCTGCAGCTTTCCTCTCGGCCACTGCTGCTTCCCTACCTGCTGTCCAGAGTGCTGCAGCAGGGACAGGAGGAGGGACCCAGTGGAGGCTGGGGAAGCCTAGCAGTTCCCTGGGTGGCTGCAGCAGCGATAGTAGCAGACCTACCCAGAAACTGTACACATACTAGGACCGGGGTCCTCCTGTGGGCAAGGGTGGGAGTGCAGCGTGCTCTCCTGGCAGGAGTGGGTGGGGCTCAGTTGTATGCAGTGCCCGGTAGGGGCAGCTATGGGCTGGGCTGGATATAATTAATTGGTGGATGCCCACCCATGGACTTGAATAAATTGCCTAGCAGGCTGGATGTGGCCCGTGGGATGTATTTTTGCCTGCCCCTGGCCTAGCCTCACTCTTATCTCTTCTTCGTTACTGAAAAACCTACTTCCACGCCCACTCCTGCTTCCCCATGGTGCTCTACACAGTTGGAAAAAGCTGCCTGACAACATTTGCACGGCTGCTTTTTTTATACTTCCCTCAGCTCTTTTTTAGGACCTGTTGCCGTGGTGCTTCCAAAAATAAAAAATGGCTGCTGGTGAGCTAAGACCATTGCTTACCGTAGAGACCAGTATTGTTTCATTTATTTCCTTATTCTCCCATATGTCCATCTTGCTGCTGTCACTTAGATTATATGCTTTTCAGTCAGGACCCATCTTGTAATACTTGTACAGGCCTTAGCAGTGTGAAGCTGTGGTCATAGACTTCTAGCTGTAAAACTAATACGAGTGAGGAAAAAAAAGTGTTTTCTTTTTCCCTACAGTTCATAGAGGGATCATTTGAAGACTATTTAAAATGTTTGGAAAATCCACAGGTATGTATTACTTTTTTCACTTTTTATAAGGTAAAATGCCAGATGGCTTGGTGAAAGCCAACTGAAAATTTTAAATAAGCTTGAAATCTCAATGCATTATTAAATGTTTTCCTATAGACTATATGCGCCTACACATACAGACATGGTATACAGTTCTGTGCTTTTATGCATTATATCTAATTGATTTTTAAAAAGATCATCTGATAATGAAAAATGACAATTTTTAAAGAGTGTAAAATGACACATGGACAGATGTATATTTGTATGTACTATGCCAGTATTATGCATACTGGTGTGTACTAGCATGGTGCTTGACAGTATTGGATGGAAGAGAAATTAGGGGGCCATGGTTTTCCAAGCTGTTTCAAGATTATTAGAATGTGATTATACCTGCCAGTTTCTGGCTGCATTTCCTTTTGTTTTTTCTGCGATTTGTCTCTGTCACTACTCCTTCATATTCAGCAGTGATACCACAATTGGTACAGGTGCCATATTGCTTTTGGTTAGGCTTTTGTTATCCAGATGGTTTTATCATTTGGTATGTGACAGCTGTGGAATGGGAAGTACTGCTGTTCCTGGGAGTATTAATGTACAAAACAGCAATATTGTAAGTATGTTATTCTAACAGGACAACCTTCATTTTGGTTTTCTCTTCTTTTCTCTTTTTTTTTTTTCTTTTCTTTCATTTAAACATTCTTTTGCAGTATTTGCACATGTTGCTCTTTTGTGGAAATGCCAAAAGATTAAACTTGTCAGTATTCTTTAAAGGAATTTCAAACAGTAAATAAAAGTCTAAATAGTGAAAAGAAAAGATTAAGAAAAATAAGTCCGGAGGTTTTATTTTTGATGAATTGGAACCAAAATGTTTTTATAAGGTTGAAAACAAAAAGGGACTACGTAGTAGCAACACATTAGATTGAATAAGGACCTTCTTAAAGAGAAGGTTATATACACCCATTGCCGCCTCCATGCCAGCTGGTGAGAGAGATGTGGCTACACAAATGAGCCTTTGTTTTGGTTGCTAAAAATAAATAGCAAAGGAAAAAATGGGCTTGTGCCTCTTATTTCTGAATATGTCCCCATATCATATCTCAGTGCTGTATTGAGCTACCACATTTGCTTAATGAACAAAACTCAGATGTAGTGCAGCTATAGTTAGTGTGGCTTTTTTGGCCCATTGAACAGGGCCGTGCTAGCATACCTGCACTATTTCTGGTTTTGGGGCCAGTAGGCACAGCTTGTCTCAACATGGCTTTGCTTTGTGATGTACAGACATATATCTTTGTCAATCCTGGGTTTTTTAAATTGCAGGTAAAACTAAAAGAATCTGCAGATTCCTAGGTTAGGTTCTCTGCAGTGGTGAGAAACCTGTTTTGTTTTTGTTTTTTCTCCCTAGGTGAATTATTTTGATTAAATTAGATTGTTACTGCAGTAACATAAATCACTGCTTATAAGAATGTAATATGCTTACAGTAGAGATTTGCACTAGTGCAGTTACAGTATTGGCAAAACATCGTGTCATAGGCAAGTTTTATTATTTATTTGTTGTGTACAAAGTGTGTGCGTGCATGTATGTATTTTAAGTGTGTGCATGTCTTTAAGAAGCATCAAGACTGTTGATTGATATTCTCTGGTTTTGCTGTAGAATTTCTTTTCGTTCTCATGCCTTAGGCTTGTTCACACAAGTGTAACTATGCCAATTGTAGCTGTGCCACTGCAAACCCTTAGTGTAGACCAGGGGTTTTCAGCCTTTTTTGGTTGGTGTTCTCCTGGTGGCCAGTGAATGAGTAGGGGGTCCCCGAGCTGGGGGGAGGGGGTCCCTTGGCGGCTGATCGAGCAGGGTTGTGGGGGGGGTCGCCCGCACACAGTGACAAAACCAGAAGTGCCAGTGGCAAAACTGGAAGTGCCACTACTTCTCCACGCCACTGCTGCATACCCCCTGGGGCCTTCCCAATACTCCCAGGGGTACACGTACCCCTGGTTGACGACCCCTGGTGTAGACAGTTTTAGTTTCAGTTTCAAATTCGGCTGAATCCAGGTAATTTTTTTTCCAATTGTAATGCATGCGAGAAAGCACACATAGTGAAGCTTCAACAGCTATGCCATTGCAAAGAATCCTATGGCATCTGGCCTTAACTGAAGGGACAGAGTGATAAATTATTGTGAATGTTTGTTTGGTTTTTTTTCCTAGTGTGTTGGAGCTTGCCAGTGTGTTGAATTATTAAGGAAATAGGTCTTTCTAAATAACAACATGTGCAAACAGGCTTACTCTAGATCAAGCTGCCTCATTGAAGAATAGTCACCCAGGAATACTTATTCTTCAAACTCCATTTAAAGCAAACATCAAAGTAAATAGCTGTTTAAAAAACAATCAGTCAGTTCCTGTTTAAATTAATTACCTTTCACTTTTGTAGCAGATGTGATTGCTGGAAACCTAAAAGAGCAACAATCCATGAAGTTATCTTTGATGGACAGAACTGGGATTTCTGTTTCTAATGTGTCGAAATTGAACTGTCCTTTATTAAAAAAACCAAAACAGAACAGCCAAACAAGGCATCTGGCAGCATTGCAGTATGCATATTTTAATATTAACTCCTCTTTTGTCTATCATCTGAAACTTAAAACACCATCTTGGTTTCAAATCTAAATTAATTTTAGTTTTTACAGGAGGAGAAGGGTGAACCTAAACCAAAACCTTAACACTAAAAAGTTAACCCAAATAGTTTAGTTGCATCATGTCAGAGGGCTGTTGGACAGTATATTTGAATAGTAGTGAATACAGCAGCTTTCACTTCTGTTAGTATTCTGATTATGACTCCTGTTGCTGTTGACCTCTGTTCTCCAGTGTTTGACAGCTAAAGGTTTAGTCTCATTGACATTGTTGGGCATTTGTGCTCTTCAGTAATAACACCATCAAAACAAACACAATTGTTTTTTCTTATTGTCAGTTTCTGCATGTGAACCATGGAATTCAGAACTACATTTTCTGCTACAGAAATGGTCTCTTTAGTTAAGTGCTGAGGCACTTCTTCAGGTAGTACCAAGAATTTTTGTGGTGTTGGTGTTTTACTTGTTATGTGATTAAATAGAAGACTTTACTTCCAGGATGTTTATTCCGATAACTAAATTCAATAACAGGTAATTTTAAGTATAGGATTGAATACAAGATTTATCTAACATTTTTTCTTTAATGGGAAACTCTTGCTAGGACAACCTGTTCCAGCTCTTCGAGGGGAATAATCCAGAGTAGATTTAAAAAAAAAAAAAAAAAAAAAAAAAGAAGAAGCTATTAACATATTTGTTTTGAATTCAAGATGAGTTTCTTGTGGGGATGTTGAGGGAGAACGTAATATTAGGCTAGGAACAGATGTCACATTTGTCTCTGGACAGGTTGCGCCTTTGTTTGTCCTGGAACAGAAATATCCTGGGAACTCTTATCAGAGTTTTTTTGAGTAGCTAAATGCACTAAATACATTGCGGCTTTGCTGCAGTTGATTCAGTGATGCAGTCTTGGGATAACTATTCAGACACACTTTGCAGTGTACTGGGATAAACTATTAATACAGGCAGGGCTTGACTTACGACAATTTGAGTTATGGCGAACCGCAGTTACAACACTTGTAAATTGACACCCGGGTTTTGAAGTTCTGACCTGAGTTTCAACTTTATGATGCTGGACACTGGAGACAGGTCTGCCAGTGGAAGGGGAAGGCGAGGCAGGCAGTACCGGGGCTGCCGGGTGGCCGTGGGAGAAACCATGGCTCAAGCGACTCCTCCCACTGGGGCGAGGCAGGCAGTGTCCGGTTTCTGCCGGGTGGCCGTGGGAGAAGCTGTGGCTTGTCCAGCAGCTCTTGCTGCTTGTTCAGGAGGGCATGGGGGGGAGGGGGTGTGTCACCCTGGATCCGGTTGGGGTGGGGCGGGCTGTGCTTGGGACAGATCTGGGGGCACACGGCCCCCCCATGCCTTTCCAGACACGTGGTCAGAGCAGCAGTATGCCACTCGTCTGGGAGCCATTTGTCAGGCAGCTCTTCTGGTGCTCATTCATTGCTGCTGCTACCACTAGAGCTCTATGGTACTGTACCTATACTGAATAAAGAATAAGTCTCAGTACTGTACTATACAATACAGTACTTTACAACAAGTTGATTGCGCTGCCCATGTGCTGTTCTGTTTCTAAACTTTTTCCAAACTGCCCATAATAATGGCAGAAGAGCATAAATCTGGTGGAAGTGATGTTTCTTTTTATGAAATGTAGAACAATTACTATGGAAACAAAAATGGAAATAATTAAGGGGTCTGAAAAAGGTGAGACAAGGAGTCTTTATGATGATCTAAAGCAACAATAGGGGGAGAGTTCTAATGCTGAGCCTTTTAGTGCAGGTAAGGCGTGATTTATGCCTTTTAAAGCCAGGGTCAGTTTTCATAACATCAAGGTCTCAGATGAAGCTGCCAGTGCTGGTGAAGAGGCAGTTCATACTTTTCCTGAGACATTGGCTGAAATCATTCAAGAGGATGGCTCTTGTGCTCAGCAAGTTTTTAATGTTGATGAAACAGGGCTCTTTTGAAAAAAAAAAAATGCCTTTGAGAACCTGCATTGCCAAAGTGGAGAAATCCATGCCAGGGTACCAAGCTGCTAAAAATAGGCTCACTGTTGCTCGGTGCCAATGCTGCAGGTGACTTTAAACTTAAACTTTTACTTCTGTACCATTTGGAAAACCCCAGAGCTTTCAAGGGACATTCGAAGGCATTTCTCCCAGTGATATGGAAATCTAATCCTAAGGCATGGGTCAGTAAGAACATTTGTTAGGATTGATTTAATCATCATTTTGTGCCAAGTGTCAGGGATTATTATAGCAAAAACAAGCTTGTATTTAAAGTGTTGTTAATCCTTGACAGTGCTCCTGGTCATTCAGCCATCCTTGATGACATGCATCCTGACATCTAAGTAGCGTTTCTGCTCCCCAGCACCAGCTCATTGTTGCAACCCATGGGCCAGGTGGTAATTGAATCCTTCAAGGCCTGCTATCTTAGGCACACATTTGCCCAGGCTATTAGGGCGATTGAGAAGCAAGGTGGACCAACTCTGAAGGAATTCTGGAAGGACGTCAACATTTACCATGCGGTTAAGAACATTGGTGAGGCATGGAATGAAGTCAAACAATCAAATTTGAATGGTGTTTGGAGAAAATTATGTTCTAAGTGTGTGTCTGACTTCCAAGGCTTTACAGACACTGTTGAAAGGGTGACCAAAAATGTTATTGAAATGGGCAAAGAATTCAACTTAGACGTTGCACCGCAAGATGTTGATGGGTTGCTGGCATCACATTCTGCAGAATGAACCAATGAGGGCCTCATTGAATTGGAACAGCAAAAAGTGGCAGAGGAAGAAGATGCACCCACTGTTGAAGAGACTCCTGCTCATAAAGTCTTGACAACAAAAGTGTTGGCTGAGGCATTTTAACATTTGGAAACTGTCATGTCCCTATTTTGAGGAACGTGATCCAGACATTGAATGCACTGCATCAGTGAATAGGGGCACATCAACATGTACAGCTGCTATGGAGAAATATACAAGCAAAAGAAGAGAACATCTGTCCAAACTTCCTTGGGCACTTTCTTTAAGAAATCAGACAAGATTTCAGGGAAACCTGCAGCCAAGACTCCTGAGCCCTTCAAAAAGTCCAGCAAAGTTACCTCAAAGAAATCTCTCCAAATGCATACGATTGCTATTTACAATATAAATACATACAGACAATTAATATAGCTACATGTATTTATTTTATATAATTAATTGAGTACTGTACAAAATTCTGGGTTATTTTTGGTGAAAATAGGGTGTCAGGCTTTGGTTCAGGAACCAAACCCCCATTTGTAACATTGTTTCCTACGGGGAAACTGGTTCCGAGTTACGTTTTGACTTAAGACGCAGTTTTCAGGAACCAATTGTGTTGTAAGTCGGAGGACTGCCTGTACTACTTATAGCATTTATGCTAGGACAATGGACATGGATATATGAATTGTTGCATTTTGCCCTGGGATAAAATGGTTTATTTTAGATAGAAGACCATCATGGCCAGGGCATTTCCCTTTTAGCCTGTTTCCTAAACAAGAGTTCTTGCTAACACCAACAGATAAAGTCAGCTTTAAAAATGATAACAAGAGCTATGGCTTCCAGCGAAACTTAGGAGCTTAAATCATTTCTTGAAAATTTTACCTGCTGGTTAACCAAATTGCTGTTTTGCTTTTAAAGTTTTCTCTCAAATACATGTCAGCACCAAATTTCATTCTTCGTAATAGTACTGCTTTTGAATGGTAAGTCTCATTTATATTTTTTAGTTACAGTAATAAACAGAGCAGTAGCGGAGAGGTGTTTTCATCCTCAGTTCTATTCTAAAATACACTATTCTGGTGTTCAGAAGGGGTATGAATGCACAAGTAATAAATGTTTTGACTGAAATCTAGGTTGTGTGTTATGTGCTATCTCCATAATAGTGATTTTTTTTTTTTTGTATTTACCCAAATGTGAAAAAAAAAATTTTGAATGAGTTTTGATTTATTTTTATTTTTCACTACAGGAGTGGGTTGGACAAGTGGAAATAAGTGCCCTATCTCTTATGTACAAGTAAGAAAACTCTTAATACTACTTAATGAGTCTGAGGTTTTTTTGGTTTTTTCTTTTTACCATAACCTGCTTGAATTAATTTAGCTGTTTTGTTTAGATGTTTACAATGTTAAAGATATAGTTAACAATTGGATATTACCTGAAATATATTATAATTCTCTAAATACTGGCATCGACATACTGAAATTTACATTTGAACAGACTTAAAAAGCAGAGCAGATAAGCTTGTAAATGTAAGAAAATGTAGGCTTTGAATAATGTCTCAAACTTACCTTCCCAGATAAAATTAGTAGTGTGTTCAAGTAGAACCATCCAGTTTGTAATTTGCTAAGTTTAATTTCATGATTGGCATAAACGTGCCTTTTTGTTCTTTGCTTGGCAGAGCTATGCTAGTAAATCTCCATCACAAAGACTCATGCTATGAACACTTGATCTATATGCAGTTTTTATACTTCTCTCTCTTTTTTTTTTCTTCCTTTCAACCTGAAATAATAAGTCTGGCTTGTTCTTCTCAAGCATAGATCAGTTGTACTTGTATGAAGGTGCTTCATACTAGTATAGGTTATTCTTCTTCCCACATGGGAATAGATTGTACCAACCTAAATCACACACACAACAATATGCATCTGTTCACACTAGAAGGGTTGTGCCACTTTAACCATACTCATGTAATTAAAGCAGTGTGACTTTTTGTATGGACAAGTCTTAAGACTTGGTCTATAGTTACTTTGATCGCAAAGTCATGTGGTAAAAGCCCTCATTTTTTGGCTATAGTTTATTCCATGCAGGAAACTAGTTTCAACTATATAAACTGTCTCTTATCTACCTTTAAAAGGGTTTGCCATCATAGGTATGTCATCAAACCCTCCCGATGATCATGAAGGCTGCTTTGTCCCTCTAAAACACTATATTCTGTTGGGTGTACACTACATTACAGTAGTAGCATTTTACTGTTATTCTGTTTTCTCACATACAACAAACAACAATTCCCCAGAAATCAGACCCCCAAAATTGTGGTGTGTGTATTAAGCAGGGAAGGGGTGACTTTCTGGCTGGGGATAGAAACACCCTGATTTAATTCCTATTCCATTCTGATATTTCTGTTCAGACAGCTGAAGGAATTGATTGATTTTTATGGCTTATTTGTTCTTCACTGCAGACGTGTTAACAATCGTCTCTTCTTTTTAATGATATCAATGCTCCACTAATCAAGCTAACCTTTCTTACAGCAATTTTGCTTCCTTCTAGTCTGTCCTGGTCCTGTTTCATAGGTCTTTAGCTCTTTTCAAAATCAGATCCACTCATGAAGGCCAGTTTTCAGTAGAAGCTAGGCTTTTAGTGAAGCAGGAAAGGAAGGTTGAGTCACTTGAAGATTAGGCTCAGACTCTGGTCTCAGCAGCCATAACTTTGGAAAAAAAAATTTTTCTTCATTCTGCCTTTCAAAAACAACTTGATTGTTCTATTCAGGAGTGTGTTGTATGCAAAAAAAATGGGTATTTTACTGTTGTGTAAATGAATGAACAAAGTAAGTGTTGGTGCTTTTCTTATTGTCTGTAGGTCAGTTTGTAGCTTTCAGTATTTTACCCTATTTAGTGCAAGTTAACGAGATTCTGATTTTGCAACTTGATGAGATTTTGCTTTAATTCTGGATTTGACCTTGAAAAACTAAGTTACATAACTAAAATATTACTGTCAAAGCACTTGAGTGAGTGCTAGATGCATGAGATTTCACATTTCTTTGTGTGGTTGGTTAAATTTTATGCAGTCAATGAGGCTCAGTTTTACATGACTGTGCTGGACTGAATGCACCTTATCACTTCTGATTTTAGAAGCTAAGCAGTTCTGCACTTGGCTAGAACTTGCATGGCAGATAGTGTCAGAATCACAGGGGTTGTGGGTAGAAACTAAGAGGTCACAGTTGAATGCATGGTGAATACCAGACCGTATAAACCAGTGGAATAGCAGGTTTTGTTCAGCCCTATTTTCACTGTTGAGCTGATAAATAGGAATGTGGAAGGGGAAATTTGGGTTTAAAGTCTCAAACTTTAAACATGAAAATGAATGAACATATGGTAGGGTAATTGCACTGTTGGCGAGAATGTGGTAAACCTTGAGGGACAGCATCCTTGAGTCTGTCTTGTTTCATTGTTTTTGCTGGCTAATTTGCTGGGGCAGGAAGGTGAAACTCCATTTAAGTCACTAGTTGAATTTTATTGCATCAGGATTGAGTTTAGCCACAGGATCCTAGATGGAGCTGCTTCTCTGCCTTTGTGTAACTAGAAGGGAAGTATAGTGATGTAATAAAGAGACTGATTTGAAGGCAGGATATATTTGAATCCAGGACTGTACCAGAGAGAAAAAATGTTGAATTTTTCTTTTTTAGACTCTCTTATCTTTATAAAAAAATGTGCCTATGAATAAGTTTTCCTTAATTTTGCAGAGTTCGTTTGACCTGGTGGTATCCTAAGAAAGGAAGAAATGTATTACTGAACTAAGATTTAACAATGGCATACAGAGGAATTCAAAAGGAATAAAAAAGTTAAAATTATGAGAGATTGATAACAGCTTGGAAATGAGTGATGAAGATGGATAATTTCTCTTACTCATGCTTATGTGGAAAAGAAAAGGCAAATAAGTTGCACGTCGACTTTACCAGTTAATTCTCCAGATCTGTTATTTCATATCATATTTGACACTTTATGGTTACTTCTTAACTCCATAAAGCAGAGCTTTTAATTTTAATACAAATTTGGAATTTACTGAAGCAGGGATATCAAATGGCCTGCAGAGGTGGGACATCTGGCTTGTAGGGCTTCTCTGTAGGCTGTATTTGGCTCACGGGCCTCCTCCCTGCAGGTGCTAGAGCATCGGCGGCGGCAGTGTTAATCCCTGTAGCTGCCAGAACATCTGCTTCAGCATGGCTCTGGAACCCAGGGAATTAACTCTGTTCACTCCCCGCCGCCGCCTTATGTACCTTACTTGCCACAAAAATTGGGTTTTGTAGTTGTTCCTGGTGACAAAAATCAGTGCCAGGAGAAAAGGGCATGGGGAGTGGTAGTGGCATTGATTCTATTGGGTATCTGTGCTGAAGAGCAACTCCAGCAGCCACAGAAGTTAGAGAGTCCAGAGGTGGGCAACAAAGACCATCAAGGGCATGGAGGGCAAGTCCTACAGAGAGAAGCTGGAGCTAGGCATTGTCAGCTTGCAGGAAAGGCGCTTAAGAGGGGACATGATAGCAGTCTTCAAATACTTGAACGGCAGTCGTAAAGAAGAGGGAAAGAACCTTTTCTCTTGCTGCAGAGAGGAGGACATGAGTCAATGGTTTGAAGTTGTAGCAAAGTAAGTTTAGATTGGATATCTGGAAAGACTTCTGTACTGTTAAAACAGTGAGGTAGTGGAACAGATTGCTTGGGGAAGTGGTGGACTCTCCATCACTGGAGGTGTTCAAGAAGAGGTTGGACAGGCACTGTTGGAGATGATCTAGGCATAGCTATGCTATGTTCTACTCTGGGTTTTTCCCAGGTTTCTGGGCTTTGCTGGTTTGCTCCCTTCCCGCCACATGAGCCTTCCTCAGAGGTATTTGGTGTTGTGTACAGCCAAGATTGTGGACTTTAGCTGGGATGTGCCAGTGTTCCTGCTGGGACTTAGACCCAGATATTCCTGGCTAGAGGGTCTTGTCCCTCTGCTCAGGGTCAGGCTGATTTGCCATATTTGGGGTTGGGAAGGAATTTTACCCCATGGTCATATTCGTACAGACTGTGGGCATTTTTGCCTCCTTCTTTAGTAGGGGACCATGGCCCTCTTCTTGGGCATGGCTCTCGTAAGTGTATATTGACAACCTTTACAGAAGTAGACATTGTCTGCCATGGTCCCCCTGCTTTACCTGTGGCAGGCTGGGTGTTAAGTCTTGTGTTGTTTCAGGATTGACTATGTAGTTTTGCTAAGGAATTAGGTTGGGGCTCAGAAGCATTTTTGGGCAGTGCCAAAAAGCTCTCAACCTTGATTTGTAAGATGTTGGCATGCTGGAGTGGATGGTGGGAGAGCTGATTCTTGTTGTGGCAGTGCAGCCTTGACCCCTTCTCTGCTGTCTGCCTCGAGGCATGAGTGCGCTTGCCACTGGCAGTGAGCCAGGCCAGGGCTCCGTGGACCCCAGTGCAGCTACTTGAAATCTTTCTGCTGCCTGCTGCAAGCAGTTTTAACTCCATGACCAGTGGCAGGGACCTGCCTAGAACCCAGGCTGGCTGTGGCGTGCCGAGTAAAATGGCTTCACGTGCCATGCTCTGGCATGTATGCCCACCCCTGAATTAGAGAGTGGATTCTTATGGGATGGTTTGGATGGGGATGATCCTGCCTCAGGCAGGGAGCTGGACTAGATGATCCCTCGAGGTCTCTTCCAGTCCTACTTCTCTGATCCTATATTATTATTACTGTTTGCTATTTATACAGCAAACAGGAATTGATACTATTACTTTTTTGTATTTGCCGTTTCACCAGAAAAGAAGCTAAATTGAGGCCTCTCTCTGTTATTATTTTAAAATGCATTTAACTGTGGCAGAATCATTATCATTTTACAGGTGGCAGGTTTGAGATGATGATGCTTGCAATTATAACAGAACCTACAGGTTTTTGGGCAGTATTAGGCACTAACTGATTTGCCCAAAGTCATTCTGGAAATAAGTGTCAAGTCTAGGAGCAGTGCCAAAGTTCCCTGACTCCTACTTCAAGACTTTTGTCGTAGTGATCTTTCTCTAGTAATTATGACAAATAACAGTGAATTTTTCTAGAAGCAGAGACCCCGGATTGACTTTCCACTAGCACAGTGTGTGAAACACTAGTTCATTTTATGGTGCTAGGCCAGTATTGCCTCACTGGGAATATATACTGGATTCTGGACTCCCTTTCAGGTTTCACTGGTCCTCTTTTAATTATGTTTGTTTTCTCTGGTTCTTTGGCACTTCGAAAATCTTGCTTCTTGGCAGGGGGTGGACAGAGAGAGATTT